CAAGTGACCTAAATCTTTATACTTTATAGATTTGTGACCACAACGGCACGGGCAATGCACCACCAACAGGAAATTTGAACCAGAGAAGGGCCCGTTTTGGAAACCGACCCTTTACGGGAGGGAATATGTAAATGTAAATGATTTGTTGATAAAGAAAAGTCAGACCACAAAATAGCAACACAACTTCTGGTTTTCTCCATCATTATTTTAAATCAAAAACCAAGGTGACGAATTAACATAAGTGTCAGGACACTTATTTTGTGTCCTTCTTAGATTTCATGTAATGAAAAATTCTTCGATGCATTGTCAAAATTGATGGACAGAACAAGGTTAAACATAATGATTAATCAAAGCAAAAAAAATGTGAGCAGAAAAAAACCAAGATCTGACTTGCCACCAGGCATTATATTTGGTACAATCCCCTCATTTTCACAAGAACTGGAAAAGGGTATGTCAAAAATGCTTCAATTCAACATGTGTAATAGTCTATCATAAGCGTGAATGGCGTGTTTTTAAATGATGCTTCAAATACATGGTATATCATTGAGTCCTAGCAGTAACACAAGCAATAAGACCTACAATAAGCATAAGTACTTTCCTAACACATTGTACACCAACAAGTCTAGTGTCAACACAAGACATGAACATTCGTACATCCATGAGTCTAGACAAACAAAACAACACAAGGAAATAAGTACATTATTGAGTGAACGGCTATACAAGCCAGTAAAATTAGAACATCATCGAATCTAGCGCAAACACCAGAATAGGGAATTAGTACATCAACGAGTCTAGCACAAGCAACAGACATTGGAATTAGCACATCAACGAGTCTAGCACAAATAACAGACATGAGAATTAGTACATCAACGAGTCTAGCACAAGCAAGAGACATGGGAATTAGCACATCAACGAGTCTAGCACAAATAACAGACATGGGAATTAGCACATCAACAAGTCTAGCACAAGCAACAGACATTGGAATTAGCACATCAACGAGTCTAGCACAAGCAAAAGACATGGGAATTAGTACATCAACGAGTCTAGCACAAGCAACATACATGGGAATTAGTACATCAACGAGTCTAGCACAAATAACAGACATGGGAATTAGCACATCAACGAGTCTAGCACAAGCAACAGACATGGGAATTAGCACATCAACGAGTCTAGCACAAGCAACAGACATGGGAATTAGCACATCGACGAGTCTAGCACAAACTACGGTCAGGGGAATTAGTAAATCAACGAGTCTAGCACAAACAACAGACTAGGGAATTAGTAAATCAACGAGTCTAGCACAAACAACAGACTAGGGAATTAGTAAATCAACGAGTCTAGCACAAACAACAGACAAGGGCATTAATACATCATTGATTGTAGCGGCAATACAAGACATGAAAATAATCAATAATATACTGATGTTTTGTGTTAAATTATAAGGTTAGTCTGTTGTTAAACAAAATACACAAAATATTAATTTTGTCTCAACACAGTACATTATTGAGTCTAGTGACAAGACAAATTATGCGAAATATTAACAGCACACAACTGTAGATAAATATACTACATGAAGTAGGTATGCACCCTTCAGTACTAAAAAGGTAAATGAAGACCGCGTGCAGAAGATTTGATATAATAAACACGTAAATAATACACCGATTATAAACATGATTGGCTGTTTTGATGTGTAGGTATTGTTATTAACGTCAAAAAGCATATTTAGTAAACAGTGATTCAGGAATTTTCGAAAACCCACTTTGAACATTTTGCATCGCTCACCTGGTATAAATCTCACACTTGTAACCTTAAAAGTGATCTTGAATAAAGCTACAGGAAAAATATCAGTGTTGATGATTAAAATTCATTCAAAAGATCCTGGTGGTGGTTTTTTTAACATTTCATCACTGTGATTGAAAGTCGAACAAAGTCATTATGTTGAACAAATGTTATAGCCTTTCATCTCAGGATACAACTTGCAAAGTATCAACATCATGGGACCCATGGTTATTCAGAAGAGGTCGTTTAAAGATTTTAAACAAATTGGACCTTGTGACCTTGAATATAAGTCAAAGTCATTCACTTTAACAAACATAGTAGTCCTTGATACCAGCATGTTACTGACTAAATATCAACATCCCGAGTCTTTTGGTTATTCAGAACATGTTGTTTAAATATTTTGAACATATTTGCTCCTTGTGACCTTGAATATGGGTGAAGGTCATGCATTTGAACTAATTTTGTAGCCCTTCATCTCAGCATGCTACTGGGCAAATATCATCACCCTGTTCATTTTGGTTATTCAGAAGTTGTTTAAAGTTTTTAAAAATATTTGACCCCTGTGACATTGAATATGGGTGAGAGTCATTCATTTGAACAAACTTGAAAGTCCTTTCCCCTAGCAATAACTGGTCAAATATCATCACCCTGTTCATTTTGGTTATTCAGAAGAAGGTGGTTAATGTTTTTCACATATTTGACCCCTGTGACCTTGAATATGGGTGAGAGTCATTCATTTGAACAAACTTGATAGTCCTTTCCCCTAGCAATAACTGGCCAAATATCATCACCCTGTGCATTTTGGTTATTCAGAAGAAGTTGTTTAATGTTTTTAAAATATTTGACCCCTGTGACCTTGAATATAGGTGAAGGTCATTCATTTTAACAAACTTGATAGCCCTTTACCCCAGCATGCAACTGGCCAAATATCATCACCCTGTGCATTTTGGTTATTCAGAAGAAGTTGTTTAATGTTTTTAAAATATTTGACCCCTGTGACCTTGAATATAGGTGAAGGTCATTCATTTTAACAAACTTGATAGCCCTTTACCCCAGCATGCTACTGGCCAAATATCATCACCCTGTGCATTTTGGTTATTCAGAAGAAGTTGTTCAATGTTTTTAAAATATTTGACCCCTGTGACCTTGAATATAAGTGAAGGTCATTCATTTGAACAAACTTTGTAGCCCTTCATCCCAGTTTGCTTTTGGCCAAATATCGACACCCTAGGCCTTCCTGTTATTAAGTCGTTTAAAGTAAAATATTGACGCCGGACGACGGACGGACGACGGACGCCGCGCCACGGCATAAGCTCACTTGGCACTTCGTGCCAGGTGAGATAAAAACAGGTTAATTCTTCTATGAATTACGGTTTTAAAGAAAGCAAAAATACGATAATGTTCCTGCATCAAAACAGAGCGCAGAAGCTAAATATTGTTCGCCAGATTCTAATGATGTCGCGCGTGACATGAAGGTAACGCCATTTTGAATTGGTAACTGAACGCAGCTCAATTGTTTGCTGCTAATTTATGGAAATAATTCCCAACATTTGTTTTATAAATTGTGTAGGTACGTTAATAAGTGTATGAAGCAGAATTGAGACAATAACCACATTTTCTATCGTCGCTTCTTCTGTATCTTAAACTGAAAATATATAGCTCTCGGCCCAGTTGTTCAGGTAAAAACTTGTATTTTTACATGTAAATTTACTCTACTAAATACTTGATATCTGAAAAGTTTTAGTTCAGTTAATGGTTGTGTTTTAAAGATAAACAAGAACTGAAATTTGCGCTAATCACTGATTAAGCTAATCATCCTTTAAACAACAGGGCCCTGTTTGCACCGAATAGAAAGTACGTTCTGATTGGTCAATACTTATATTGATATTTTCATATTGAAAATATAACATTTCGCACATAACGTTTTGGTCGAATTGATAATTACACCGATAAAATTGTAATAAATATTTTTTTCTTACACATTACAGGCGCGTCGTTTGGTAACACAATACAAAATAGTTATCAATAATATACTTATGTTTTGTCTGAACATTGAACATCATTTTGTCTGGTAATTGGTAAATATTTTGTTTTGACATAGTTACTAAATAAATCTAATAGTAACACAATATGTGATAATCATTAACAAAAAAAATACATAAAACATAACATAATAACACACATTCTGTCTTAACAGAGTATTTACCGAGTCTATAGGTAACACCAGATATTATCAATCACATAACTGTATCCGTACGTAGCAAGAGGTAGATATAGTTTGTATTAACAATACAATTTCTTAAACAGAAATAACAGTTTTATAAAAAGTATTCTGCAATACAACTCTTGTCCACCGGAGAAAAAAAACCATGACATTAAATACATTTAGATGAGAACAATGTCATATTGCTTAAGTTATTCCGTCTTTGCATATTGCAGAGTTATCTTCTCTTGGGAGCAGGTATTGATTGTTACGTCATTGGTTTGTGTGAGAAAATTACGTCGTTTTCTCAAAAATTGATGACGTTATTCTCACAAACAAGTGGCGTAACAATCAATCCCTGCTCCAAAGAGAAGATAACTCTGCAATACGCAAAGACGGAATAACATTGTTAAAACAAATGTATTGCTTTACTTCCTCCGATTACGGTTTCTCTTTAGCTATCAAATGAGTCATCATGCAAGCTCATTAAATAACAATCTTAATATGATGATTACGACTAAGAGCGTAACCTTAATTACTACATAGGTAAAATATAGCACGTCGTCACCATGTTTCATACACAGCTGAAACGACGTCATGATATTCATATAATTGACATCATCACACAATATCACGATATCACAACGTTTGTACGCTGTCCGACGCAATATCACTATTTAGATCACAGAGTCCTCATCACAATGTTTCATAAACCGCAGAATCGTCATCAATGTTTCGTGATCATTGCCACGCCGTCAGAATGTTTGTGAATCATTGACGTCATCACGTAGACAACAGACGCGTCATCAAAATGTTTGAAAACCACTGCCACGTCATTCGTGTTTTGTGATCATTGCCACGCCGTCCTAATATTTGTAAATTAACGACGACAGTATGCAGATAACAGACGCGTCATCAAAATGTTTTAAAATCACTGGCGTCATCAAATTGTTCGTAGAACCACTGACACGTCACCACAATGTGCCATTCATCACTTACACGCCATCAGTGATTCGTATACCATTGACACTACGTGGATTATTGACGCTTGATCAAATGTAAATTAAAAAAACGTTTTGTAGATCACAGACTTGTCACAATAATTCAAATATCACTGACATTTAGTCAAACAGTTCTGTTATTCATGTTGAAGTTTCATATGCCACTGACACGTCATCATTATGTGTTGTTTATCTCTAACACATCCTCAGTCTTTAAAATCTCAACCTACATGTAAAAACGGTAAATTACTGACCTCATCACAGTGTTTCATAAATCTCCGACACGTTATCAAAATGCTCAATAGGTAATTGCACGTCATAATATGCCCTTTATAACTTTCACACCTACAGTGTTTCGCAGAATATCGACACATCGTTCCAAAATTGGTAAATAACTGACGTCATCACACGTTTCATAATTTACTGACAAATCCTCCCAAGTCCGTAATATAAATAACAAGTCAACAAACCCTTCCCTTATCACCGGTACGTCATCACAATTTTTTTCCTCATCACAATCTTTCGTAAATCACGAAAATCGTCACAAAAATGACTGTTTCAATGGTTGGTTTCCAGTGCCAGAACTATCTTTTCCCAAGCGTTCGAATGGACGGCGCTCACACAGGTTAGCGTACTGAGTTGCCGCGGTGGCAAGCAATCATCGTCTTTTAAGACTGGGACAATGTAGTGACTACGGGCCATATCGTGATGAAGTGTAAGTGCAAAGTCTATTTCATACATGCTCTTGATCTCTTCCTGTTTGGATTCATGACTGGAGAGAATAATCAACACTTTGAGACTTTCCTTTATACATCGCTCCATCTCATAGAAATTGTTGTGTCCAAGTCGGTAATCTCGTTCTGGTATTGCTCCCTTAAACTGGTAGGATTTTTCCAGCTTCTGTAATAAGGAGTAATAAACCCAGTCTCTCTCGGAACGATTGAATATCACGTAGAAGTCGTACTTGTAATAGGTGTTTCGGGGTCGGGGTACAACATCAGGGATCACAGACCGTTGACGAGAAAGAACCTGTGGGTAAGGCTGAGAGCAATTCTTGCAATGTGACTCTGGTAGTTCAGACTCATTTTCTTTCTTCTTCATTTTATCAGATAACAGCTTTTTTGCATAGTCCATCTTTTTCTCATAGACCTTTTTCATCTCACTCTTTGGTTCTGGTTCAGTGTCCGCTTTTTCCGGTTCAGTGTGCGATTGAAGTGCTTCTTCGATTACCTCTAAGGACTTGGAATTCCTCCGCTCAGAGTCAGTGCCCAGTTTAAAATATGCATGCATCATGGACATTTCCTCTGGAAAGCATTTGATGTATTTGCTGGTACATTTAGTAAGACAGGCACGTTTGAAGTTCCTTATAGCATATTGATACCAATACGCCATCTCATACATAATCTCGTTTTGTTTGTGTGTCCAGGTCTCCTCTGATTGTTCTGTTTCTTCGTTGGTTTTTGACATGTTATCCAAAGACATCACTTCATGCTCTTGCGAAGGGAGACCTTGGTCAAGTTCAAGATCCATTATGCCCTGCGCAGACTCGGAAGTTGGAGCACTAGAAACTGTCTCATTTCCCTTCTCAATATCCCTTGGATTATCCTGTAACGGGTCCTTCGTCTGGTCGTCTGCCGTAGCGGATTGTGGTGTTCTTATGGAGGGTTCAGCAGATATCTTCGTTTCCTGTACAGATACAGCAGTGTGCTCTGCATCACGTTCAAAAACTTGATTAGATACGTCATTCTTACCTGCTGCGACCTTTTCGTCTGTTTGACCAGTGTCACTTCCATTACTGTCGTCGCCATGGTGTCCAGGTGTATTGACTTCCCTCTCTTTGCTGTACATTTCGAGAAACGTCTCAAATAATTTGTCAAAATTATCAGCCGGTTTGGTTGGAACACTGACTTCCATGCCTCGTTTGAAGCATTCAATGGCTTGTCTATCCTCTCCAATAGCCCTGAGAAACACCCCATGCTTTTTGTGTACCTCTGGTTTCTTCTCCGTACCCAGACATTGCACTGCCTGCCAGAAATACTCGGCTGCTTGCATTGCATCTTCTGAATCTCCGTCCATGGTGCCATCATTTTTCCGTCCTCTCAAATAATACGCTTCTGCTACGTTAGCCAAATCCATAGCAGTAGTGTTAATGAGAAGAGCTTCCTCGCCATATTTGATGGCGTCGTTCAGATACTCGGCACTTGATTTCTTCTCAGATTCATGTTCCTGTTCAGTATCCTCAGCTGGATTGGTTGCTTTTCTTGTGAGAACCCTGTACATAGACATATTGACCTGTGACAACATCGTCATGGCAAACCAATTCCCGCTCTTTTTATAGATATCCCAAGCCTCGTGTAACCACTCTATAGCATGTTGAATTTTGTCCCGATTTTTAAACGTACGCAAATAGGTAGCATATCGTATTCTAGTTTCTGTTGAACGACGGACCTCCAACTCGAGTGCTTTTCGGAAGCAAATCTCTGGATCATGAAACTCTTCTTTTAAACACAGATTTGTGACATATTTTTCAAAATCTACGAGTTTTTGACCTTGAAGATTTTGCGGTTTTTTGAAACAAAATACACCAAGAAAAGTCCACGCCCACGCTTTCAAATCTGGCAACGCCTTATCAGATGTAGTTATGTCCCTCAAACAGCTGATTCCCTCGCAATACGAGTCTTTGCAACAAGGCTGTTGCATGTTATCATCCCTTCTGCCACCTCCTTGGTGCACTTTCTGATAACACTGGCTAAGCCAATATTTGACTTCCAGCTCCAATTGCTCCACGTAACTCTGAGCCTGATCTTGAAGTTTTAGACCTTTGATATTGTTTATTATTCGGAGACTGTCAACAAACAATTTCAGAGGTCGATCATTTCGAACCCATTCATCTTCTTCTGTATAACAATCCATGAAGAACGCAATTCCCTGTTCAGCCAGAGCTTCAGCATCATAATACTCAAACAGGAAGTTGTCCTGTCCAATGTCTCCAACACAATACTCACATTCAGGGTCAAGGCCTCTGCGGTTTTGCCGCTGTTTATCGAAGTCTTCTTGTCTTTCTTTGTATTTGTTGGCTTTGCTGTTCATGTGAAGCCGTTGATATACAGTTATCATGTGAGCAATGGCATTCTTGTTATTTCCGTTGACCTCAAGTACATTTTTAAAGCAATCGATGGCAGTTTTAAGCTGATCTTTGCAGTAAAATTTAAAAACTCCTTTGAGATTCATGATTGCATTTTTTGACATTTTCAGGGATGCAAAATCTTCTAAAAGTTTATTTGCAACAGCTATGCGGTAGTTGAGATGTTTTGGACTCGGATTACGAGCAGTGTTGAGACATAAAGAAAAATATCCTGCACGCGACTTTCTATCATCAGCCATTTTCAGTTTGAGAATTTGATCACCTCTCCAACGCTAAGATTAGCAGCATTCGGTTATGAAATTAAGTTGCAAATAAATGAAATGCTTAATCTTGTTTTTGAACCTCATGTTTCAAATGAAAACGGTAATGTTCCCAATCTTAACATTCGGGAGGAAATGAATGATTGCCAGAACAAAATGGTAACTGGTCATGGATTCTTGAAGACACTCCATAGTGGCGCATCAACAATCAATCTGAAAGAAGAAGAAAATCTGTATTAATGGTTATTTGATGACTCAACATTACAAAAAACATGAATTTGAAGGTGGTCAAGGTCAAGGTCATATTATTTAAACAATTAGGGGACATAGCATACATCTATGTCTTTTTACTGCTCTGTCAAAAAGTTTTAAGTTTTTGAAACCCTAAACCCCTAGGTGTTTTATACATTTGATCATTTTGAGCTTGAGAGTGAGAAACTGTTATTTATTTGAATAGCCTTCTGTAACAGCCAAGGAATATTTGGGGGGGGGGGGGGGAATTTGTCTTATTGGCATGCTAGCTTGTCCAACCGCACAGTACGACCCTGAACCTGCTGACTAGTTCAGCAACATTGAGCGTGATCAGTGGCAGGATGGGTGCCTGTCCTCGTGTTACATTTAGGGGCAACGTTATGACTTTGGGTGTATGGTGTAAGACCAGTTCTTGGTGGTTGGGTAAGATGTACAAATACACAGGGAAGAATCATGGGATTCCCAAGGACAAGTCTCAGAGCGAGATTTCTCAGAGGGGGAAATAGTGGAACAGCCAAGGAATATGAGGGAAAACAATGCCTTAATTGCAAGCTTAATTCTCCAGTGATGCAGTACGTAAGTTGCACTTCTCTCTAGGTAAGATACAGAACATACATCAAGATTGGCATTTAAGTTGTGTAGAAATGTTATGAAGCTTTTTAAATCGTGACATGGTTTGTCATCCTGTAACCTTAACATGCCATCATGTTTCTTTTTAACAAATTTGACAATCCTCTCTAAATAACATAACTCCAAACAGATCTCACAGAATATGTAGTAGAAGTTGTTGAAACCTTTTATATATTAGATACCTTAACCTAATTGGAAGAGGATCAAATTGGAGAAATTTAAACTGGTTTACTCCTATATTTTTGAAATGGACTTGCCCAGTCTATGATTTGGTAAGACTCAAGTGTGACTTTAGTGGTGACTGGGTTAACAGCTTCCTACCAAAGAGCCGGACTGAATCAATATTCTCCAAACTTCAACTGAATTGTCTCCCATTTTACCTGTTCAAGATTCCCCTATCACTCCCCTAGGGTATGATTCCCCTATCACTCCCCTTGGGTATGATTTCCCTATCACCCTCTAGGGTATGATTTCCTAATCGCTCCCCTAGGGTATGGTTCCCCTATCATCCCCCCCCCTAGGGTATGATTCCCCTATCGCTCCCTTAGGGTATGATTTCCCTATCACTCCCCTAGGGTATGATTCCCCTATCACCCTCCTGGTAGGATTTCCCTATCACTCCCCTAGGGTATGGTTCCCCTATCACTCCCCTAGTGTATGCTTCCCCTATCACCCTCTAGGGTATGATTTCCCTATCATCCCCAAGGGTATGATTCCCCTATCACTCCCCTTGGGTGTGATTTCCCTATCACCCTCTAGGGTATGATTCCCCTATCACTCCCCTTGGGTGTGATTTCCCTATCACCCTCTAGGGCATGATTTCCTAATCGCTCCCCTAGGGTATGATTTTCCTATCACTCCCCTAGAGTATGATTTCCTAATCGCTCCCCTAGGGTATGATTTTCCTATCGCTCCCTTAGGTATGATTCCCCTATCACCCTCTAGGGTATGATTTTCCTATCGCTCCCCTTGGGTATGATTTCCCTATCACCCTCTAGGGCATGATTTCCTAATCGCTCCCCTAGGGTATGATTTTCCTATCACCCTCTAGGGTATGATTTCCATATCGCTCACCTAGGGTATGATTTCCATATCAAACCTTAGGGTATGATGTCCATATCACTCCCCAAGGGTATGATTTCCCTATCACCCCCTGGGGTATGATTTCCCTATCACTCCCCTAGGGTAGGGTATGATTTCCATATCGCTCACCTAGGGTATGATTTCCATATCAAACCTTAGGGTATGATGTCCATATCGCTCCCCTAGGGTATGATTACCCAATCACCCCCTAGGGTATGATTTCCGTATCACCCCCTAGGGTATGATTCCCCTATCACTCCCCTTGGGTATGATTTCCCTATCACCCTCTAGGGCATGATTTCCTAATCGCTCCCCTAGGGTATGATTTTCCTATCCCCCTCTAGGGTATGATTTCCCTATCATCCCCAAGGGTATGATTCCCCTATCACTCCCCTTGGGTGTGATTTCCCTATCACCCTCTAGGGCATGATTTCCTAATCGCTCCCCTAGGGTATGGTTCCCCTATCACCCCCCTAGTGTATGATTCCCCTATCACCCTCTAGGGTATGATGTCCATATCGCTCCCCTAGAGTATGATTTTCCTATCACCCTCTAGGGTATGATTCCCCTATCACTCCCCTTGGGTATGATTTCCCTATCTCCCTCTAGGGTATGATTTCCATATCGCTCACCTAGGGTATGATTTCCATATCAAACCTTAGGGTATGATGTCCATATCGCTCCCCTAGAGTATGATTTTCCTATCACCCTCTAGGGTATGATTCCCATATCGCTCCCCTAGGGTATGATTTTCCTATCACTCCCCTAGAGTATGATTTCCTAATCGCTCCCCTAGGGTATGATTTTCCTATCACCCTCTAGGGTATGATTCCCCTATCACTCCCCTTGGGTGTGATTTCCCTATCACCCTCTAGGGTATGATTCCCATATCGCTCCCCTAGGGTATGATGCCCCTATCACTCCCCTAGGGAGTGATTTTCCTATCACTCCCCTAGGGTATGATTCCCCTATCACTCCCCTTGGGTATGATTTCCCTATCACCCTCTAGGGTATGATTTCCTAATCGCTCCCCTAGGGTATGGTTCCCCTATCATCCCCCCCCCTAGGGTATGATTCCCCTATCGCTCCCTTAGGGTATGATTTCCCTATCACTCCCCTAGGGTATGATTCCCCTATCACCCTCCTGGTAGGATTTCCCTATCACTCCCCTAGGGTATGGTTCCCCTATCACTCCCCTAGTGTATGATTCCCCTATCACCCTCTAGGGTATGATTCCCTTATCGCTCCCCTAGGGTATGATGTCCATATCGCTCCCCTAGGGTATGATTTTCCTATCACCCTCTAGGGTATGATTTCCATATCGCTCCCCTAGGGTACGATTTTCCTATCGCTCCCCTAGGGTATGATGTCCATATCGCTCCCCTAGAGTATGATTTTCCTATCACCCTCTAGGGTATGATTTCCATATCGCTCCCCTAGGGTACGATTTTCCTATCGCTCCCCTAGGGTATGATGTCCATATCGCTCCCCTAGAGTATGATTTTCCTATCACCCTCTAGGGTATGATTTCCATATCGCTCCCCTAGGGTACGATTTTCCTATCGCTCCCCTAGGGTATGATTTTCCTATCACTCCCCTAGGGTATGATTTCCCTATCGCTCCCCTAGGGTATGATTCCCCTATCGCTCCCCTAGGGTATGATTTCGCTATCGCTCCCCAAGGGTATGATTTCCCTATCGCTCCCCTAGGGTATGATTTCCCTATCGCTCCCCTAGGGTATGATTTCCCTATCGCTCCCCTAGGGTATGATTTCCCTATCGCTCCCCTAGGGTATGATTTCCCTATCGCTCCCCTAGGGTATGATTTCCCTATCACTCCCCTAGGGTATGATTTCCCTATCACTCCCCTAGGGTATGATTCCCCTATCACTCCCCTAGGGTATGATTTCCCTATCGCTCCCCTAGGGTATGATTTCCCTATCACTCCCCTAGGGTATGATTTCCCTATCACTCCCCTAGGGTATGATTTCCCTATCACTCCCCTAGGGTATGATTTCCCTATCACTCCCCTAGGGTATGATTTCCCTATCACTCCCCTAGGGTATGATTTCCCTATCACTCCCCTAGGGTATGATTTCCCTATCACTCCCCTAGGGTATGATTTCCCTATCACTCCCCTAGGGTATGATTTCCCTATCACTCCCCTAGGGTATGATTTCCCTATCACTCCCCTAGGGTATGATTCTCCTATCACTCCCCTAGGGTATGATTCCCCTATCACCCTCTAGGGTATGATTCCCCTATCACCCCCTAGGGTATGATTTCGCTATCCCTCCCCAAGGGTATGATTTCCCTATCGCTCCCCTAGGGTATGATTTCCCTATCACGCCTGAGGGTATGATTTCCCTATCATCCCCTAGGGTATGATTTCTCTATCGCTCCCAGAGGGTATGATGTCCATATCGCTCCCCAAGGGTATGATTTCCCTATGACCCTCTAGGGTATGATTTCCATATCGCTCCCCTAGGGTATGATTACCCAATCACCCCCTAGGGTATGATTTCCCAATCACCCCCTAGGGTATGATTTCCCTATCACCCCCTAGGGTATGATTCCCCTATCACTCCCCTAGGGTATGATTTCCATATTGCTCCCCTAGTGTATGATTCCCCTATCACCCTCTAGGGTATGATTCCCCTATCACCCCCTAGGGTATGATTCCCCTATCACTCCCCTAGGGTATGATTTCCTTATTGCTCCCCAAGGGTATGATTTCCCTATCACCCTCTAGGGTATGATTTCCATATCGCTCCCCTAGGGTATGATTCCCCAATCACCCCCTAGGGTATGATTTCCCTATCACCCCCTAGGGTATGATTCCCCTATCACTCCCCTAGGGTATGATTTCCATATTGCTCCCCTAGTGTATGATTCCCCTATCACCCTCTAGGGTATGATTCCCCTATCACCCCCTAGGGTATGATTCCCCTATCACTCCCCTAGGGTATGATTTCCTTATTGCTCCCCAAGGGTATGATTTCCCTATCACCCTCTAGGGTATGATTTCCATATCGCTCCCCTAGGGTATGATTCCCCAATCACCCCCTAGGGTATGATTCCCCTATCACCCTCTAGGGTATGATTCCCCTATCACCCCCTAGGGTATGATTCCCCTATCACTCCCCTAGGGTATGATTTCCTTATTGCTCCCCAAGGGTATGATTTCCCTATCACCCTCTAGGGTATGATTTCCATATCGCTCCCCTAGGGTATGATTCCCCAATCACC